GAATCCCCACTCAGCAGGGAGTCTGCTCTTCTCCTTCTTCCGCTGTCCCTCCCCTGCACACATGCTTGTTCTCGATCTCTCTAAAATAAATAAATCTTAGAAAATAAATTAGGACTGGGGGTGCCTGGGTGGCTCAGTTGGTTAAGCATCCACCTTCAGCTCAGGGCATGATCTCTGAGTCTTCGGATCAAACCCCTCAGCAGGCTTTCTGCTCAGCAGGGAGTCTGTTTCTTTCTCTCTTGCCCCTCCCACCATTCATTCTCTAATAGATAAACAAAATATTTAAAAATAATTAGGACTATTGAGAACAGGATCATAGCAAATTATATGCAAATATAAGGAAGGATCTAATTAATTGGAAATGAAGGTCTAAAACAACCACCTGTGATATAACATTATTAATATAATATTTAATAAACATTGGTAAGAAACCTTACTACAGATACTTGGTTACTTGCTAGGGATAACAGAATGAATGAAACATAATTCATGCTCTCCAGTTCATTCTACTAAGAGAAAAGAAATACAGAAATAGGTAATTCCAATACCAAGTGGGTAAGTGCAATTATAAAAGTATAGGAGTAAAGAGGCTAACTGCCTTGGGGACTAGAGAGTTTGGGGGATAGCTTCACTGATATGAAAATACTGGGGTTGTCTTGAAAAGGGGGAATATTGTGTCTAAACACGTAATTTTGTTTGGCTGGAACCAAGATGGCGTGTTGCAGAGCAGTAGAGATCTCTGAGTAGAGAAAAGAGGAAGTCAGGTCATAGATCAATGTGGTCTAAGCTAAGGAATCTGACATTATTCTGGAGAAACAGGGAGTTCACTAAAGCTTCTCCCTCCCAAAAAAAGGCCCTAATTCTTTATCTCTATATTATACTGCCCCTACAGAATTAGAGTATACATTCTGTTTGGTAATGAACTCTGCAACCCTCCATCCCCCCAAAATTAGTAAATATCTTTTCATATCAGTTAAATGTAACAAACACCAATTTTAATAGTCCATTCTCTAAATTTATCTCAACACTTACAATGTATATGAAAAAATTCCCTATTGATGACACTTTTTAAAAAAAATTATAAACAGTATCATATGCATCCTTTCAAACATTCCTGTGTACCTGGATAAATTCTCCAGTAAGTTCCTGGTCAAAATAAGCACCCTTGAACATCACAGGTTTAAACTGTGCAGACCCACTTATACATGGCTCATTTCTGGTAAATATAGTATAGTACTGTAAATGTATTCTTTTTTTTCCCAAGATTATTTATTTATTTGACACAGAGAGAGAAGAGAGTGAGAGAGGGAATACAAGCAGGGGGACTGGGAGAGGGAGAAATAGGCTTGCCGCTGAGCAGGGAACCCGATGCAGGGCTTGATCCCAGGACCCTGGGATCATGACCTGAGCCTAATGACTGAGCCACCCAGGTGCCCCAAATGTATTCTCTAATTTATGCTTTTCTTAGTAACATTTTCTCTGGCTTACTTTATTGTAAGAATACAGTATATAATACATGTAATTTACAAAGTATGTGTTAACCACCTGTTTATGTTATCAGTAAGGTTTTTGGTGTACTGGTTACCTGTATTATTGGTAAGGTTTCTGACTTTAAGTAGTTAAGTTTCTGGGGACTCAAAAGTTACACATGGATTTTGGCCTGCACAGGGCAGGGAGGGTAGATGGTGGTTTGGCACCTCAATCCCCCATGTTGTTCAAGGGTCAACTATTTAATTGTGACAAGTACTATTTCTGAAAGAATATACCAATTTATATTTACTAATCAAAAATATGGGATTGATAAAGTGAGACTAAGTGAGGCAGGTAGGGTCTATGTGGCAGTGAGTAAATATGAATGCCAAGTATGAGAGTCTAAGCCTGAGCAGGGGAAGGAGGGAAGCTATAGGGGAGAGAGCTAGGACTAAGGGTAGGAACCCACAGCATACATGCAGAAGGATGGCTCGTTGTGGGGTGTCAAAACCTGAGCAGTATGAAGGCATCCATGCAGTGGGCAGTGGAGAGCAGTGAGGGCTGGTATCAGATATCAGAAAGTATGTAAGGAAAGGAGGGCATCAATACTGAGGGACAACAGTGGCCTGTCACAAGATTCAGAGCCTGAACAGGGTGAGGGTGTCCACGTATGTGAAGGATAGCAGCCTGTCACAGTAGTGACAGAAGCATTCACACAGGAGGGTGGCCTGGCACATGGTGCAGGACGACAGAGCCCAAGCAAGGTGAAGAGGGTGTGGGAGTGTGGGGCAGTGGCACCATGGAGAACAGGTTAAATATATTAAAGGTAATGACAAATCAGATGTCTCACTGAATATAGAAGGAAATTATAAACATGAAGAGAGAAAGCAAGAATGAACCTTGAGGAAACACACTGCAAGTAGAGATTTTAGTATGTATGGATAGAAAAATATTTAAATGTAAACATTTATGTGTATGTATATAAGTATACAGATATATAAATTCATATTTCCTAGCTTTCTTTTGGGGGTATTGACATCCCAATAGCACTGAGCACATCTAGTACCCAGAACCTTGAGTTTCTAAATGTCATTCTCTACTAAAAAGAACCAAGCATCCCCCCCAAAAATTCCTGATTCCAGCGCTGGGGCAGGAAAAGCACAGATGAGCCTGGAACACCTTTTTGTGGCAAAAAAGTAAGGAAATGCTCAAAGAATTATGAGGTCACGTGCAAAGGACACAGAAGCTAGCTTAATGTTCAAATATGGGATATTCTGAACATCAAAATAAATATAGTAATGGATTATAACTTACTGAATGAAATAGGCAATGAGTTCATACTAATAAAAAAATGAATTAAAAGTTTAACAAGGAAGCATCTCTCCATAGAATTAGAGAAAAAGAAAACAAGAATGGGACAAATAAAATCATGTACAACCTAACAAAATACAAGAGAAAGAATGTCACTTCTGTGATATTCCTGCCAAACATGTATAACCCGAAATTAATCAATGAGAAACAAACCTAACTTGAGGGACATTCTACAGAATAATGGTACAGGATTCTTCAAGAGTAGTAAGGCCATAGATGTCAATGAAAAGACTAAAGAATTGTATGGATTGAAGAAGACAAGACAACTAAATGTAACACATGGTTCTAGACTGGATCTTATTGCTAAAAAGGGTATTACTGGAACAACTGAGGAACTTGAATGGGGTCTGAAGATAAGATGATAGCAATATATCCATGTGCAGCACTGTTTAAACACATACTAAAATATGGGTGGGTGGTCATGGAGCATTGTCAGCAATCACTTTCAAATGCTGGTTGGGGTTGTTTTTCGTACTGTTTTTGCAACTTTTCTGTAAGTTTGAGATTGTTTAAAAATAAAAGAGTGATGAGATGGTCTATCTCCTTATACTTTTCACCATATTAACCTTTAAAAAGTTGTTTTGCCAATTTGATAGGCAAAAAAAGAATCCCTTTTAAATTAAAAAGAAATTTTTCAAATCACTAATTCCCATTTTACATCCTACAAGTATCCCCAGCTTTCTGAAAGCTTGTGTCCTGCCACTTCCCTTTTACAACAGACCTATTAGCACTGTGCCTTTCTTCGCTTTTACCTTCAGCATTTGTTTCACAACAAGCCAATTATAAAAGCAGCACACCCCAAGCAGAGTGGCACAGCCAAGCTCCTTCCCAAGAACTATACTTAGCATGAAACCCCCATAGCTTTGAATTGTGTCTGTGAACATCTGCGCTTTATCTTGATTCTGTGCATCAGTTAGCAAAATCTGTCTTGAGATATGAGAAAACCTAACAAAGGTTATTTTGGGGAGTAGGGAAACGCTTCCAGTCCCCATCACCTCCACCCATCCCCCAGCATAAATCAATAAATGCTTCTTTGCTTTACCCCATTTCAGCTCAGAATTTCACAGGACCGCTCTACTTTCCTATAGTGGGGGAAACCTGTGTATAATTTCTATTTATTGTCTGTCTTCGGTCTCTTTACACTGGAACGAAGCAGTAACCTCTTTATTCACTGACGTTCCTCAACTGCCTAGGGACAACAGAAACCTGGTAACTGAAGGGATGGACCACGTCTATTTAATTCTCAATACACCGCAGGGATGCTCATCAGCCTTATTATTCCCTTACTGGCGTGGCATGTAAACTGCATGAGGGCCAGGAATTTGGGGTTCGTGCACTGGGATATCCCCTGAACTGGGATATATACAGAAGATACAATAAAGCATCTGTTGAGTGAACATTCTTTTTGGGTCCCAAGCACCACACCAGTTTTAAAGAGCCATTATCAGCCCTGAGGTAGGTGGTATTAACATTATCGTTCCCATTTTACGGACTGGAAAGCAGGATTCCGAAAGGACAGTGGGTGGATGAGGCTAACCCTCAGCCTCCAGGGCAGGCAGGGCCCGGAAGGCGGCTGGGGCGAGGGCTTGCCCCTCCTAACCTCCCCGGGCCGCCCACTTGGGCTCCTCGTTACTCACCTTGGCCTCGGGCTGCCTCTCCTCCAGATCCCGACGGGCTCTCATCGCCTCAGCCGCCCCGACCAGCATGTTCGGGGCCCTCCTTCTCTTCCTGCCCTTCTTGGGGTGCCCCCCGCTCCTCTCCCTCTCGGGATCCATGAGGCTGTGGAGAAAGACCGGCGAGAGCTGAGGAAACGCCGCCTCCGGACGGGTGAGCAGGCGGGGCTTCGACAGCCTACAGCCTTCCTCAGATCCTCTCCTAAATTCAGCGCACGGAGCCCTCCCAACCCTTCTGGAAAAGCGAGAGCGCTAACTATCCTCCCTGTTCCGCGGCGGAGAAAACCGCACCGACACCAACGGTTTTACCGTACGCGCTGGAGGCCGGATTCGAAACGGTTCCCCAACGGCGCAAACGCGCCTCCGCCCGTTGAAAAAGAGGGAAAAAGTTGCTGCCAAGACGACTTCCCTGAAAAAAAACACTCCCCGCGCCCCCGAGCCCCGAAAACACCGAAGAGAAGCCGGGCACACAGCAGAAGCCGCAGCCGCCCCCACCGCCTCAGTCACAGCCAAAGCCGCCGCCGCCGCAGCCTTCTCAGACGCGCGAGGCGTTTGAACGGACCGGAAGTCGTAGTTTAACGACTTCCGGCAGTTGGGCTCGGAGGAGTCAGGAGTGCCGGGAATGGCGACCAAGAAGCTTGCGCGGTACGCGAGGGGTTTCTGGGCTGAGGGTGGCTCCTGGTCGAGTGCTGGCGTCCGCAGCCCGCCTGGGAAGTGCGCATCCGCGGTGTCAGCTTTCATTCTCTGCAGCCCAGGCGTCTCCGACCTGCACTCTCTGCCCCGGACTGAAAGGTCTCTGCTTGGATCTCGGTCTCGAGGCTCTCAGGCCGCCCTCCGCGCGAGAGTGGAAGAACCGGGGTTCGGCCTGTGTGGCCTTGAGCCACTGTCAGCCCATTCTAGGCCTCTGGAAACGAACTGGACGTGACAGCGCCTGGTAGGCCGTTCCGAGGTCTCAGGCAGCCCCCCTTCACCCGTCAAGCTGTTCACGCTACCACTTCCTAGTGATCCGTTTAAGTCGTATTGTGATTTATTGTAGCCTTCTCCCTGATTCCTGGTCACGCTGTACACATTTCTGATTTCAAAAGAGCTGTTATAATGTAGTGGTAAATAGCATGGGCTTCAGAGTTGGTCGATTCTGCTTTCACATACCAAATCTGTGTTCTTTGGCGAATTACTGAATCCGTTTTCTCATCCAAAAAATAGAGGTAGCAACAACTCCTACAGTTCTTGACGATTAAGTGAGATCACTAGAGATCAGTGCTTGCTATGTAGTAAGAAATTGGATAAATGTTCGCAGTTATTCCCAACTCCTTGCATTTCCCATCACAGTTCTTAAACAAACAAACAAACAAACAAAAAACACAAAACGACAACAGGAAGTGTCGCCTAGTTAAGCTTGACCTGTTCCTCGAAGTAGTTGTCTTACTTAACACCTAAGGAAGCTCATCCCTTTCTGTGAATTCAAGTGTTCCCTTTGCGGATCCTTTGTCATGTATTACCTTATAGTAGTTTACCATGGATGTCTACTTTCTTTACCCAGCTGTAATTTTGAGCTCCTGGAAGACTGGATCTTCACTATCTCCTCAGAACTGGTCTGTGCACATAGTAAGGGCTTGAAAAATGAAAAGGCAGAAATAAGCTTTTCAACGCATCTTTACCTCTGCAATCACTCACGTTCCTCAGTATTTGCTGTCAAATAAGGAAAGCAAAAGGAATTACTCTTAAGTTTGCAAATATGAACTTTGAGGCTCATGCAGGTAAAATGACTATTAAAATTTAATGACTGTTAAAATCAAAAGAGATTTTGGCAGTCAATATAAGAACCAAGGTCTTCTGTACTCCTGGGGCAAATAATACATTATATGTTTATAAAAATAATTAAAAAAAAAAACCAACAAGGTTGTCTGCTCTCAAAGTTGTTCAATTTCCAGTCACTCACATTAATACATTAATAATGAGGGTTATAACATTAGTTTGTTAGCATATTCAAACAGGAGTGTGAATGCTTTTGTTGAACATATTTGGTTGTTCTACATTTTAGGCAGCTTGGATTAATTAGAAAAAAGTCAGTTGCACCAGCAAATGGAAATCTAGGAAGAAGCAAATCCAGTAAGTATTGTGCTTCATTTCTTTACATTTTGTATCCTTGCACTTTTAACACTGATAAACCATAAGGACACCCTTTGTTTTGCAGAGCAGTTGTTTGACTACTTAATTGTCATTGATTTTGAGTCAACATGTTGGAATGATGGGAAACGCCACCAGAGCCAAGAAATAAGTAAGTCTGGACTGCCAGTGGCCAAAGCTAGCCGAAGAGGAGTCATTGTAATAGATATAAAGTAGTCAACAGTTAGTTTAAAGGAAATAAGATACCCTATGAATTGGTAGTTTACTATAAAACCTGACTTGACAAAAAGAGAACAAAAATCTAACATCTAAAAGTATATAAAATTATTTTAGAATTTCATACAAAATCTCAATTGTATAGGGACAGAAAAAACACCTTTGCTAAAAGAAATACATTTTAACTTCCATATGGTCTTAATATTTAATTCTGGAAATATATTCAAGAGTTTTTAATAGATATAACTTTAATATTCTGATTTAGTCTTTGGTACAATTTTATTATAACTATTATATCACACTGCTTTGGTCATTTTAATATGCTTTGACTGAAATAGTGACTGTCTAAAAATGCTATATGATGGTTAAATATGTTTAATTTAGAGTGATGACAGCATTAATTTAATAATTATGTATTCAAGTGTCCATTGAATTTTTCGTGTAGTTGAATTTCCAGCTGTATTGCTGAACACATCAACTGGGGAGATTGAATCTGAGTTCCATGCTTATGTTCAGCCTCAAGAACATCCAATTCTTTCTGAATTTTGCATGGAACTAACAGGCATAAAACAGGTATGCCCTTTTCTTTTCCCTACCTCTCTTCTCACCCTGTCCCCCCCCAAAACAAGAAAGTATGATGCAAATATTAAAATTCAGAAATCAGGGGCACGTGGGTGGCTCAGCTGCCTGAGTGGCTGGCTCTTGATTTCAGCTCAAGTCATGATCTAGAGGTCTTGGGATCAAACCCCGCTTCAGGCTCCAACTTCAGTAGGGAGTCTGCTTTAAGAGTCTCTCTCCCGGGGCGCCTGGGTGGCTCAGTGGGTTAAAGCCTCTGCCTTCGGCTCAGATCATGATCCCAGGCTCCTGGGATTGAGCCCCGCGTTGGGCTCCCTGTTCAGCGGGGAGCCTGCTTCCTCCTCTCTCTCTCCCTGCCTCTCTGCCTGCTTGTGATCTCTCTCTGTCAAATAAATAAATAAAATAAAATCTTAAAAAAAAAAAAAAAAGAGTCTCTCTCCCTCTCCTCACCCTGCACATGCTCTCTCTCCCTCTCTCTCTAAAAATAAATAAATCCTTAAAAAAATAAATAAAATCCAGAAATCAGTTGTTAAAAGAAAATAAAAAGTATATACCATTTGAAATTAGATTTATGTACTGTTAGAAATAATGTTCCCTCCAGAACTCTGTTGGAATCTTTAAAAATTAGATAGAATAGTGTTGTAAAAATGAATATCAAACTTATTTCATGGAAATTAAATTAATTTCATGGAAATCAGTCAGGATTTAATTACTATGTTTCTGTGTGATTTTAGGTAGAGCAGCCTAATTTTTCTTATCTTGCAGAGTTCTAATCATTATATTATCTCTCTTCCATGTGTTTTAGCATCTTTTTCTAAATTCTGGCAGTCAGAAGCTCTATTTTATTTTATTTTATTTTATTTTATTTTAATGTATTTAGTTGACAGAGATCACAAGTATGCAGAGAGGCAGGCAGAGAGAGAGGAGGAAGCAGGCTCTCTGCGGAGCAGAGAGCCCGATGCGGGGCTCGATCCCAGGACCCTGGGATCATGGCCCGAGCCAAAGCCAGAGGCTTCAACACACTGAGCCACCCAGGAGCCCCTAGAAGCTCTTTTTTTTTTTTTTTTTTTTTTTTAAGATTTTATTTATTTACGAGAGACAGAGAGAACGAGTTGGGGGGAGAGAGGCAAAGGGAGAACCAGGGGAACAAGGAGCCCAATGTGGGACTTGATCCCAGGACCCTGGATTATGACCAGTGCCGAAGGCAGATGGTTAACCAACTGAGCCACCCAGGTGCCCAGAACCTCTTCTTTTTTGCATGCCTCTATGGTGCTTAATTTTGTGCTAATGATGTATTCAATAATTATGGAATTTGATTGTTAAATTCAGATTTTGTGACTTTACTCAGGCTCAAGTAGATGAAGGAGTCCCTCTGAGGATTTGCTTATCTCAATTCTGTAAATGGGTTCAGAAGATTCAGCAACAGAAGAAAATTATTTTTGCTACTGGGATTTCAGATCTGCCTAATTCCGAAGTAAAATTATGTGCATTTGTTACTTGGTCAGGTAAAAAAACAAATTGTATCTATCAATCATAAATGAGTGGAATAACCACAGTGAATTCTTTATCTGTAGTAAGAATTGTACTTGTTAACCTCTTAGGCCTTGAAAAGAAATCTCAGTGCCTAACAGATGTTAACCAAGGAAAATAAATTTATTCATATTTTTCAAATTTTACCATCCTGGGATACTTTAAAATTTTTTAAGACTTAACCCTAAGAATTTTTCTAGATTGTACCTCTTTGTTCTTCTGGTTCCAGGCAAAGATGATTTAGTGAAAACTCTTATGCTAACACCTTGAATTAAAAAGAGTCTTCATTCCACTCACATCCTTTGCTTTATACTTTCATATTAGGAAAAAATGGGCCATTTAAGTAGATCTTTTGTATGCCTATGATACAGCATTGCAATTAATAGTCATTGATAGCAAGGCTGTGCCATTGTTAGTCATATTTTTGGTTTTAGGTTTCTATAAGATGTCTGGTTTCTCAATTACATTAGTATTTTCTAGAATGTTGAAAGCAGATAACCTTCTCCAGGCCTTGTAACTTGATACCTTACTCTTCTTCTGAGATACTCAGTGTGTTTAATTGGGTGTTTAAGGAGTCATTTTGAGACTTAGTTACCAACCTAATTTCTTAATAGTAAATTATGTAAAGTGAATAATTGTTAGCTATTAACAGCAATTAAATTCTGTTTCGTTTTATATAGTATATTGTTATAGTATATACAGTATAGTTTATATTCTCTATATAGTACATATTATACTTTGGTATATAGTATGTAATGATAGTATACTATATACACATAAAATGTATATAAATTTGTATATAAACGTGTCATTTTTAAAATTTAACTTATTTTTTAAGATTTTATTTATTAAAAAAATAAAAATTAAAAATTAAAAAAAGATTTTATTTATTTATTTGACAGAGATCACAAGTAGGCAGAGAGGCAGGCAGAGAGAGGAAGGGAATCAGGCGCCCTGCTGATCAGAAAGCCCATGCAGGGCTCGATCCCAGGACCCTGGGATCATGACCTGAGCGAAAGGCAGAGGCTTTAACCCACTGAGCCACCCAGGCGCCCCTAAATGTGTCATTTATATAAATATTATATTCTATGTGTTATTTCTTTCTAAATCTTATATAATATTTCAACCTTTTATTTATAAATGATTTATATTTATATTTATATTATATATTTTATATTATATATTATATTTATATTTTACATATAAATATAAATATTTATTTATTATATTTATTTATATTATATATTATATATTTATAGTATTAAATTTATATTTATAAATATAAAAACTGATGGCATCATTGAATTTGTTCTACTTTAATATACTTAATGCAGACTGGGACCTGGGGGTTTGCCTGGAGTATGAGTGTAAAAGAAAACAGCTGATAAAACCCATGTTCTTAAATTCTTGGATTGATCTCAGAGTAACTTACAAGGTAAGGGTCAAAAATGGGGGCATAGTCACTTTCCTTCTATGGAAAAATGATTAAACTTCATCCCATGAAAGGGTATAGGTTACTATAAATAAATATTTTTTTAAACTTTAAACTTTCACATAAATACATTTTTTTGAAGATTTTATTTATTTATTTGACAGAGAGAGATCACAAGTAGGCAGAGAGGCAGGCAGAGAGGGGGAAGCAGGCTCCCTGCTGAGCAGAGAGCACGATGCGGGGTTTGATTCCAGGACCCTGGAATCATGAACTGAGCCAAAGGCAGAGGCTTTAACACACTGAGCCACCCAGGCACCCCCATAAATGCATTTCTTAAAGAATGTAAAAATGACAACAAAATAAGCATATTCCAAGTCTAATAGAATGAAAAATTATGAAAAGTAAGTGGTTAATACATAGTTTTTCTTTTTTTTTTAATACATAGTTTTTCTAATAGTAACTTTTTTTTTGATATGTTTCTTTTATTTGGTTAGATTTTCTATAGAAGAAAACCAAAAGGGCTGAGTGGTGCCCTGCAGGAAGTGGGAATAGAATTCTTAGGACGAGAACATTCTGGTTAGTATAAATTGAAAGTAATTTTATTATGTAAATTTTCTTACTTCTATAGTCTTTCATATGAATCTCGTATTTTTGGTGATGTCATTCAATTTTATTATGTAAGTTTTCTTATTTCTATAGTCTTTCATATGAATCTTGTATTTTTGGTGATGTCATTAATAAGGAGTATCCTTTCAGGCTAAAGAAGTTCCTAGTCTATACAATTCAAAGATGTCGGACTTTCAAATTATACTACCATAACATAGTATAAGATAAAGACTGCCATCTAGTGGCTTTCTGGTTGCTAAAAAGAATGAGAATTAGCTAAATCAGATGGAGATTAAACAAACGCCCAAATTAGTGAATTAGTGAAAAAACTGAATAAGACCGTTAGATACTCACAAAGCATGGTCCCTACAGAATGTTGCTTGCATTTTTTTTGAACTGTAACAAATTTTTATCTCCTCTGTAAATGTGCGAGATCTTGTCTTTTGTTGGTAAGCTTGCCACAGCATTTGCTAGTCCAATTTATCATAATTAAAATTAGTAGATGATCATAAAACTAATAGTATGTTCCAATGTTAATTATGATTTCTTATTTTTGCTACATTTCTTTACACTGTTACTATTAAATTCAGTGTTTGTTATTTGTTTCCTCAGGGTTGGATGATTCTCGGAATACTGCTCTGCTTGCTTGGAAAATGATCAGGGATGGTTGCTTAATGAAAATTACAAGGTCCTTGAACAAGGTTAGTGGTGTCTTGCCTCTTTATCCTGTCATCTCAAACCCCAGAAGTAATCGTAGGTTCATTGAAATATAGATATCATGTGTGGAATCCTTGATAAATCAATGAATGATGACATTTTTCTTTTTTGTCAAATCATATAATGTGTACTAAAGAGATTATGAATGCATAGTTTCTAAAGCTATTGGATTTGTCTGTGGAATCATAGGTTCCCACTAAGAAGAATTCCAGCGTTTTCACCAGAAATTTGAATATGAATCAAGTTGAAGAAAGGTCAGCATGCAACAGTAGCATTCAGGGTCTGAGCATATATGATAGGGAGCCTAAAAATACAGTAAATTCTCATGAAAAAGTTCAAATGAGGTCAGTTGGTGTAAATTCTCCTATAAAGGTACAGCAAGATCAGTTCCAACTAAAAAACAATGTAAAAGCAGCTCTTCATAATGCCAAAAGCTATTTATCTCTTTTTAATACAAAGTCCTCTACTTCTGTGGAGCAGTTGCCATCTGCCAGCTTGAATACACCTATGCAGAAGCACATAAGAAACGAACACCTTGCATTTAGTACCAAATCTAAGTCTTCAGCAATTGGTTCAGAATTGGTACTTGTATCAACTACCATTTCATCTGTTAATCATGTTTCTGATACGGAAATGAGTTCTGCTCTTGATTGTTTACCTATGTTGGCTGATTGGGAGGATGTAGCTTTACTGCCAGCATCTCAGCCTGAGCAAGGTATAGATTGTATGCCTTCCATTAGTGACTCAAACCTAGATACTTCATTTAATTCTATAGAAAGATTAATGGTTTTAAAAGAAGGCACAGAAGAAACCCCTCAAAAATCTGGGACCTCTAAGTCTGTCGTATATAAGAGTCCACATACTACTATTTATCATGTGGAAGAAGCCAAAGATCCAGATTCAGATGTTTCTGACTTTAAATTACCTGAATGCAAATCAAGTAGCTTCAACAGTGTTAATGCCACTATGTCTCATCCTTCAGTTTTGGGGAAATACCCCCACCTTTCAGGTAGTACTAAAAGAAATCTATCCAGTCCTCTATCTTTCCCGCCAGCAAAAAAACAGACCCTCATTGTTCATGAAGAAAAATCTACATCATCTGATTGCTCCCCAGTGAGAAATTGTCCCCGGAAGGTCCTCCCCTCTATCTTAGCTTCTACAGTTAACCTACAAGAGCCTTGGAAGAGTGGGAAAATGACACCTCCTTTATGCAAGTGTGGCCGAAGATCTAAGAGACTTGTTGTTTCTAATAATGGACCAAACCATGGGAAAGTTTTCTATTGTTGTCCAGTTGGGAAATACCAAGAAAACAGAAAGTGTTGTGGTTATTTCAAATGGGAACAAACACTTCAAAAGGAAAGAGCCAACAGCAGAGTTCTGTCTCATTCTCCAAAGGGACTCACTTTTAGTTCCCCAGAAGTAAGCCATATATGTAACAGAAATGTAAATTTTTCTAAAAATTCATTGAGACTCAGACCTTCAATGAGGAATTGATAAACTTTCTCTACATTGAAACTGTGTTTTTACTTTAATTTGACTTTTTGTGTGATAAAGAGAAAAAAGTATATAGGGCTACAAGTTATGGGGACTTAGCATATCTTGAGTTCTATAGACTATATTTGGGCTATTATACACACACACACACACTGTAAATAGAGAAAAAAATCAATTTCACAGTCTTCTAATTTCATCAGTTATCTAACATGTGTCTTCCGTTCATGTATGAATCCTGATTGTTCCTTGAATTTCCAAACATCATGAGTATTCTGATAATAGTTGTACACTGTTTTGTTTTTATATATTAACACTTGCCAAATTTATCATACTTTTTTGAAGAACCACTAATTATTTTGTATACGATATTTGATTAGATACAAGCAACTGTAGTATGATGTTCTTCTTTTAGTTAGACCCTGAAATGAATTTAAACTATTTTTAAGTTACTTGAATAAAAATGTGACTAATAAAAATCCCTAGCCTGTTTTCAGGTAGATACTTAGACTTTGAGAATTATGATCATCTTCTAACTGATATTTTTATTTTTCTAAAAACTTTTATAATAAGTTATTTAGTTTTATTTCAAAACTTGAAGATTTTTTCTGATTTGTATATCAATGAGTCAGAAGAATGATTCAACCAACAGGTCAGAAATTTGATTCAGATACTATATGCTTTAAAATTTTCTTAGCAATTGATGGCATTGTTTTCATATTGCCAAAATCATAAGAACATTGACACTAATGTGAGGAATTTTATTCTAAATAAATATTCTAAGTATTTTATTTCAGAATTCAGCCTCTGATGTTATACCCACAAGATATTTTATTTTACTTTCTTAAAAGTTTTTTTTTTTTAAGTACTCTACACCCAATGTGGGGCTCAAAATTAGAACCCTGATATCAAGAGTTACATCCCGACTGACTGAGCCAGCCAGGTGTCCCAACCACAAGATATTTTAAATCAACAACTTATAAATATATTACCACATTTGTCATCACCTCCCTATACTCTTGTGGTTTTGACAGAATCTTTGTTTTATAGATACTGTGATAAATAATAGAACAGATTTAAATTTTTTCCCATTCTTTCTTCCTCAGTTCATTTCTTTTGATCTTCCCGCTGATAGTCTTTGGCAGCTCTTGAACAAATTCCACCTGTTGGGATCAAGGGAAAAAATTAGCCCAAAAGTTTTCATCTTTAGACAAAGTAAGTTATATAGCAGTTATTATCTCTAGGTGAAAGAATTAGGACACCCATTTGGGTCAGTGTTGGTAACAACCAGAAACGGAGATGGGTGTTATTGAGGAGATGTCACTTAGTATTTAGAATTTACTACAAGTCCAGTAAGTCAAATGACCCAGCAAATTATGTTAAGAGTTTCATTTTAATCTCAAAGAGTCTGATTCTTATCCATGTCATTAGTTCAGTTTGGAATATTTGGTGTAGCATGTTTGAGGAGAATATTTATTAAAATTATTAAAAAAAAAAAACAGCTGAAATTTGTCAGAATGCTAAGCAAATTGTCACCATAATTAGAATACCTACCTTTCTGGGATATTTGTAAGGTGCTGTAGTTTTTTTTACATGCTCCTGAATCTCCTTTTTTAGTTGTTCTTGATCATGTGACATGTAATCAGGGGCCAGAACAATAAAAGCCTTTACTACCTGCAAAAAATATTTGAAACACCAGGAAGATGAGTTGTATATTTTTATGTTTCTCTAACTGGGAATCTAAGTGCTTGCTGGGGTGGGCCAGAAGACTTCATAGTGTTTAATCCCAGCTCTGTGCTCTTAAGTCAGCCAGTTTGAGTCTCATAACTCTTATTCTGTAATACAAGAGAGTTTCTGGGACCTCTGCTTTGTTAATGATCTTAATGAATTAGAACTTTCTCATCTAACTACATCTTGAACTCTGCCCTCTGACCTGCTTCTGTTTCTGAGCTGTCTGTGCTCTTGACTTCTTACCTCATCTTTTATCTCCTTCAAGAAAATTTCCTTTTAGAGAAAAAATATTTTCCTTTTAGGAACTCAACAATGCACTAAGCACAGCCTTTTGGGTAACATCTTAGCCTGGTCTAGCCTAGTTTCTAGGTCCCTACCCTCATTGTGGCCCTTATAAAGAGTATTCACACTGAGTTTGCTGTATCCTTGTTGAAGGGAACAGTTCATTCAAGCTGTGCACTCTTCATTCCAGAGGTACTTATGTTGATAATAAGGCTGTGAAAATTCCAGCAGACACTTTGCTATTACTCCGACCAATTTACCTGACCTTGAGGAATAAGAGTAGCAAATGGTGGTGGTCTTGCTGTCTAATTGGCAGAAGACAGGGAGGACTTCATCACTTTATGCTCACAAATCCTGTTCTCAAAGTTCACTCTTCTTTGAAATGTTTTGGAAAATCCTGCCCTGCCCAGAGTGTTTACACAATCTATCTATAATTTTATCATACCCATTTTTTGATATTTCATAAAATGTTTTTGTGTTTATACTGGCTCTTCTGCTTTATCAATAAAAAAATTTAACCTTGCTAGAGGTGACTCATTCAGAGGCAGATTATTTTAAGAAATAATGTTTGTAATTATTGGCTCGAATATTGATGACTTCTACACCTTGGATAACGTCCACTGTATCTTTGTAAAAGTTTGTTGTTGTTTTTTTTTTAAGATTTATTTACTTATTATAGAGAAAGCACACCCATGCACCCAGGAATTGTAGGAGGGGCAGAGGGAGAGAATCTCAAGCAAACCCCACACTTAGTGCAGAGCTCAACTTGGAGCTCAATCTCATGACCCTGAGATCATGACTTGACCTGAAATCAAGAGTTAGATGCTCAACTGTCTAAGCCACCCAGGTGCCCCTGTAAAAATCCTTATAAACCAGGGCACCTGGGTGGCTCAGTGGGTTAAAGCCTCTGCCTTCGGCTCAGGTCATGATCCCAGGGTCCTGGGATCGAGCCCCACATCGGGCTCTCTGTTTAGCGGGGAGCCTGTTTCCTCCTCTCTCTCTGCCTGCCTCTCTGCCTACTTGTGATCTCCGTCTGTCAAATAAATAAATTAAAAGAAAAAAAAACCTTTAAAAATCTTTATAAACCATTACAGAAGATCATAAATTAATATGGAGTGCCCTAACATGATTAAGAGCATGACAGCTCAGAAACAGAAGGTTGAAATCACACTTTGTTGTGTAATTTTGGGAATGTTAGGATACCTCTCTGTGCTTGTTTCCTTCTCTAAGAAGAGAGCTTGTGAGGATTAAATAGGGCCTATACAGGCCCTGTGTAGGGCTTAATAATACCTGGAACATCAGAAAAAGTCATCGGAAATATTAGGTATTAGTTGTAGTAGTATTAGAAGTACAAAATTTTTTTTTTAACTAAAATCCTTAAGTTGGCGTCAAAGTTTCTCTAAAATTCTCTGCAATATGTTGCATTTTTATAAGAGTCTATAGTTGTACCATTTAATATGGTAGCCACTTGTAACTTTAAACTTAATTAAAATGAAATAAACATTTTCTCAGTCATACCTGCCACATCTCAAGTGCTTTATAGCCATGTGTATTGTTCAAATGGTACAGATATAGAATATTTCCATCATTGCATAAGTCCAGTAGTGACCTATGGCCTTCAAATTACAAAGAACATTGTGATCCTACCGGTGGAGTTAAAAGTGAAAGGATAAACTTCAGTAATCACAGAATCAATTCCCTGATCTATGGAATATTGAAGGCCCTGCTTGGCAAAGGAGACCTGAAGAGTAGCGTGGAACCTTTAAACCCAAACTACCCTGTGATCAGCCTCAGTAAGAATGAGCTTTCGAGCATATATATGACTCTTGATCTTGGGGTCATGAGATGAACCTCTCACTGGGCATAGAGCTTACTTTAAAAAAAAAAAAGGGGGGGGAATGAGCTTTTAGGACTGTCTTATTCACAGCTTATTTCCTGAATCTTCCACCCATCCATGTACCCAGCCTACTTCTGGTTGCCTTAGTTGCTATCTTTTTTTTTTTTAAAGATTTTATTTATTTATTTGACAGAGATTACAAGTAGGCAGAGAGACAGGCAGAGAGAGGGGGGGAAGCAGGATCCCCACTAAGCAGAGAGCCTGATGCAGGGCTCAATCCCAGGACCCCAAGACCACGACCTGAGCAGAAGGCAGAGGCTTAACCCACTGAGCCACCCAGCACCGCTTTAGTTGCTATCTTTGACCTTCCTTCCACCCCCTGATACCTGATGCCAGCCTAGCCTCCTCAGCTACACTAGAGACCATGTTGGTTTCCAGACCTGGGTAATAACTTAATACCATCTAGCTGATATCTGGCATCCTATCCTGCTGTGAGCCTGGGTTGTTGGCATTCACACCATCCCTCTGTGGAAAGGATACAAATTCCTTATATATATTTTCAGTCTTACTCGTAGCAGTTCTTTCTGACTAGCATATTTACTAATGACTGTCTGACTTGGAGTTAGTCATTTGGGTAATTCTGTTTCAGTGAACTGCTGAAAAGTATGTGTTAGACTGCCAACAAATTATAAAGTGGAGATGAATTTGTTTTTTCTTTTTTTTTTTTTTTTTACCTCTCCCCTGACGGGGTCTGGGCTGCTGACAACAGCAGCCTCTACAACAGCAGGATGCTCAGTCAGGGCACTTTCCACCTCAAATGGTCCAATTCTGTAACTGGGAAATAAAACATATAAAGGTGAGCAGCAGATCCACTCCAGAACACCAATGATTAGTTAATGTAGACATATACACAGATGAAAAATTACCCAGAGGACAATATGATATCATCTGCTCTTGCAACAAACCAGAAATAGCCATCTTCATCCACATAGCCCCTGTCCCCAGTGATGTAGAAATTGCCTCGTAGTGTTGAAGCTGTTTTTGTAGGATTATCCTGTGAAACAAATAGCATTTTGTTAGTATTACTGTGAATGTGATTCTTCTGTTCAGTTGGATTTTTAAATGTTCAAGGGAGGGGGAAAAAAAAGTCATCTCTTTGAGAAGACTGGGAATGAAGAGGTGGCAGCACATGAAATAAAGATGAAATTCCATTGTTGCCCAGTCAAAGAAAGGTAAACTATAGTTACAAAGACTAGGCATGCTGCTATCCTGACAATTTTCTTTTTTAAAGATTTTATTTAGGGGCACCTGGGTGG